GCTAGGACATGTACAGCACCCGGTCGAGCTTGCTCTGCAGGAAGGCGTTCTTCATGTCGAGCTGCATCAGGTTGAGGTCGAGGACGGCGACGATGCTGAGGAAGATCCTCAGCGTGACGTAGCTGCCCACCAGCGCGAACGTTTCGTCGTAGTCGGTGCCGTACACTTGCGTGGTACCCTTCACGACCAGCCTCGCCTTCTCGTGCTCGACGGTGTCGTCGATGTGGTACTTCGTCGTCAGCGCCCACCGGTTCTTCATGATGTTCACCACCGGCGGGCGTTCGACCAGTTCCCAAGTGCCCATGTTGATGAGGCTGCGGATCTCCTCCTCCATGGCAGCCTACACCGCCAGGCCCTGCCAGCTCCCAACGCCTCCTTCACTCATCGTCGAGATGTCCCAACGGTGCTCGGGGTCGGCATGCATGTCGGCATCGAGCTCCGGAAACTCCTCATCCTCCTCGGCGTCGTCATACGCCAGGTCGTCGTTGTCCACATCGTACACTGTGGTGAAGGCAGCAGGGACAAAGAAACTACAACGGGAGATAGACTACGGGCTAGGCACGGGTGCTCGTATGATCTCTGCGTTCGTTCATTAGTCGTTTACTTGTGCTTGCACTACTTGCTGGTTCACGGGAAAAGTTGGCAAGAGTTTCACTAGCAAAAGTTCACAACAATGGTACAATCAGGTTGGCAAGACAAGACTACATCAGAGCTAGCATTCAGGTCAGTCGACTGCCAGCGCAGCATGGTCGACCGCGTTCCAGCACGACTTTGTCGACCGCGCTCCAGCAGTGCAAAGTCGACGGCGTGCCAACGCTGCAGGTTGACGGCGTGCCAGCGTTGCCCCCCGCAGAACTTCAGCGCACCTACTTCGCAGGTGCTCGCATATGATTGGCGTGCTGTGCCTTGTCATCTGCACAGCGCACACACCAAGTCGTCCTCGTGCTGACGACTGCGCCTGATCCGCCACGTCGACCTCGGGATACCACCACTGAGGTAGGTCTCGCCAACATCGCCTGGGCGACCGTCGTACTCCTCCGCAGAACCTCGTCACCCAGGTAACCTGGTCGACTAGGCAACCACGTTGACCAGCTGCTCCTGTATGTGCCCGTCGACCTCCCAAGTCGACGGCCACCTCCAGTCGACCTTGCCAGGTCGACCATACCTCTGGTCGACCAGCTCCGGGTCGACGTCACTCCTGGTCGACCAGCACAATTGTCAGCCGACCTCCCAAGTCGGCTTTTCGAGGTCGGCGTCACCAAGTCGACGCCCTACACAGGTCGACCTCCCAGGTCGACCTCCCCGAAGTCGGCGCCCTGCTACTCGACGTCCTCTGTCAAGGTCGACGTGGGCGCCTCTTCGTCGACCACGCTCCTCACGTCGACCACCAGGTCGACCACCCCGAAGTCGGCGCCATCCTGAAGTCGGCGCCCGTGCAGTGGCCCCCGTGTAGGTCGACTTCCTTGTCGACCACCTCGCCCACTGCTGTAGGTCGGCTGCTCCCCTCACACCCGACCACTAAGTCGGCTCCGCCCAAGCGTGGACGGGGCCACACCCAACTCCCGTTGACATTATTGACCACCACTGCCTGTAGTGTGCAATGAGCCGTGCAATTGTGGAGGTAAGCTTTCCCTGGCGGTACTTCTTCTTCACGGCCAAGGTAGCTAGCAGTCGTAGGAACTGCAAGGTGTCCGTTGCTATTCCAAGCCAAAGAAGCCTACTTAGTCAGGCCGCCCCTCATACGGTCCGTGTTTGCTCTCTGACGCCTCCTTGCTGCCCATCCTGGCGGCTTCCATGCCCTGGTGTCACGCCTCTGCAGGAATGAGTCAGTCACGGTGACGTCACCTCTTGGTAACTGGCTGTTACCGGGAGCTGCATGCCGAGGCGGAAGCCTAGCGCCATCGAGAGCTGACCAGGGGATAATGCAACCAATCCCCTACTCCTATTCCCTGCAGGCCGATCAGTTTCACTGCATGTCCACTGTCCTTCTCTGGTCTGTCAATGAGCGTCTCTGCTACGAGCTCCTTTGATTTTGTATCGTAGGTGTGCCTGGATAGTATCATTTGCAGGTTGCCATGGCCTCGTGGTCGCTCCCTGAAAGTGTGTAGGGGCTGCCCTGGTAGGTTCCCTTAGAGCGTGGTCAGCTGATGGGTGTCCGGTGGTTCTGGTGTCCACGTGTGGGAGAGTAAGGTAGTTGTGCAGCTCAGGAGGTGTGTTTCTGGTAGGTTCATCTGCTGCACTAACTGCTGGGCTGCCGTGATCGAAGCGATGTGGGCAGCTGGCGCCTCTTTTGTTGGGTCAATGATCCTAGGCCTCCCAGCCGTATCGACAGTGTTGCCTGGCGCCAGAGCAAGCTCTGCTCCAGCTTACTTGTTGGTACGCGCTGTTTAGCCGAGGTGAGTGCCGGCTCCAGCAGGGTTTCACTCCATCCTCTCCAGCACTCACGGGGTAGCACCTCTGCCTGCGTGGTTCGCAGCAGGTAGGACACCCTGCGGCTGATGCTCCGTGATATGATGAGGAGGGCATGTAGGGGGTGCATCTGGGTAACTAGGGGGAGAGGTGATGCAGCTTCGTTTAGTTTAGTGACGACCTAGTTGGTGCAGAATTCTGCTGCACCTCCTATGAACTGTATGCCTTACATGCTTAGCTCTATGCCGGTTGCTGGGGCGTTTTCCTGGGGCTCTGCTGCGCTTGGGGACCATGCCAAGGACTTTCGAATGTTGCATTTTAGCCTGCACCTCGCCAGCTCGCAGGTGATGGCGTCAAAGGCTTGGAAGGCTACTGCCTGCGGGCCTACGATCAAGATGCCATCTGCATAGGCAACCACTGCCACCTCTGGGAGTAGCGTGGCGGCGCTAAGCAGTGTGGATTGGATCGCCGTCGCGAAGAGTAGTGGCCCTAGTGGATCTCCCTGTCAGACTCCCCTGGAACTCAGGATGTGGTCTATTCCAAAGCGAGGGTTGACCAGTAGCTGTGAGGCGCCGTCATAGACCGTGCGGGCCAGGGGTATGAGCGGCTACAAGTTGGACCGTGAGAGTGCTGTGAAGAAGGCTGACCACTCCACGCTATTAAATGCATTTTCGATGTCTAGTTGAAGTGCAATGCGCAAACTATTGTCTTTCAGGAGCGACCTGACGGTGCGTATGATGCATTCTACCTCTTTCCCCTACGGTGTGTATGAGGTATGTACCCATTCTTCTTTCTAACCCTGCCTTGTTCCTGCAGCACAACTCGCATGCCTCCACCCAAATTCCTATCTCCTTCTTCATGTCCTCCCACCACCATCCTGTTTCCACTAGCTGAGTTGTCCGCGGACTCCTATAGTGTCCCAGCTGTTGAATGCTCGTCGTTTTGAGTGCATGTCATCCTAACAACCTGCCGAGTGCTCGTGCCATTTGTGCTTGCATTGTTTGTAAGAGCATATATCATTGTACATGGCTGTTGGATATTATCATCTCTGTGTTTTTTTTCCAAGTTAGAATGCATGGTCATGCAGGAAAAAAACCCGAGCTTTCCAACGATACCAAGATCGCCTTATTCCGACCAAGATCGCTCAAGTTACAAGATTTCCAAGACTTCGATTTCTTATTGCCTTCTGGGGTTATATCTAATTTGGGTGATTACTTGAACATGACTATAAAGGGATCTTTGGTTGGGTGGTTAGGAAGGTTAGAAAGGCAACTTTGACTTTTGGATTGGGGTGGCTAGAAGTTTCTAGCATGGGTTGCAAATGTTGCAACACCTAGGCAAAATTCAACTAGATTGGATTTTGCATGTGACACCTCAAGAACCTCATGATGAGGGTTGCATCTTTGCTGCTAGGAAGGTTCCTACCATCCTTGAATTCCAGGGCTGGGTTGCCCTTGAAAACTGAAATTGATGGGTTGAAAACTTTATGGCCCTGATTCCTTACAGGGCTGATTTCGGGCTTAGGCCTGGAGTGTTAAGGGTAGATTTTGGGCGAGCCCTGGAACAAAATATTTTGAACCCCCCTCCCACCCCTCCTTCCACATCACTGTACCTCGGCTCTTGGGGTTTGTAGGAGCTGGGAGTCATTCCCAACTCGTAACTCTTCCTAATTTGTGTTCTAAGTCTATAGTGGCAGCCATAGTGCCGTTCGTTCAAACTGACTTTGCATCGTCAATACTTGATCAAATGATGCGATCTAGATTGCCTATTGTAGATGACGTCACGAAGCTCCAGATCCAATTTATAGCATGTCTTTTGGATCTGTGACCAGAACGCTATGAATGTTTAAAGCCGCTGTGCAGAAATCCGACTATGCACTCTATCTTTCGTTTTAGGCACATTCAAGCCAATTGTGACTATAACAAGATTGTGGGGAGGAAGAGGGAGGAGGAGGAGAAGGAGGAGGAGGAGGAGGAGGAGGAGGAGGAGGAGGAGGAGGAGGAGGAGGAGGAGAAAGGAGGACAGAGATTTCGTGAATCAGTCGCACATGAGGACTTTCGTTAACGTGATGAAACCTCAAGACGCTTCAGGTACATCCGTTTTTTTGTTACTCTAAAATCCACAGCGCGATAAAGAACTGCCCCCTTAAATATTGCTAATGCAACGGAACTATTTCTCTCATTGGCATCCCAACCAACCATTGCTGCAGATCTGGTGATTGTATTTGCGGAAGACAAGCTGTACGGCAGGCGGAAGGTGGTGAGCACCTGCCAGGAGGCCGTGGTGTGCGGGCCTTCACGATCCGTGGCTGCTGGGAGTCACCCACTCATGTCCTTCCAGGGAAACATTCTGCCTATGCTCGGCATCTTCTGTCAGGTAGCGCCATTCAATTTCGCTTGCAAATCTGCTCCCCAATCTGCCGAACCAAGGTTTCGTTCGCGGAGGTGCTAGGCCTGCAGGAGTACCTCGTCTGCTGCATGTGACTCCTCACTGAACGTGCAGAGATGCGCGATCCATCACTGGACAACACAGACAGTGTCACAGACTGGGATGTGGCCATACACGTTATAAGCACCTTCTTTAATCTAACCATGGACCGCTTCTACTCCCTATTTGACGCTGTGCAAGCGAGAGCGGACGTTGAGGTGCTGGACACGATGGTTGAGATCTGGCAGGTGCAGATGCCAGTGCTTGACGGCAGGTACCACAGCCTGTGGTCCACGCTCGACAGGCTGCGAAAGTCGCTGCACAGACGCCAGCACAGTGAGAGGCAGAGGGAGAGGATGGAGGAAGGCCAGCAGCTGCACGCTGACTTCCCTTCAGGTTTGTTGTTCTCATATCACGCTGTAGTGGGCTGCTAGAATGGCCATTCTTGTCAGATAGAAGCTGTACATGATGGACTTTATTTCCGTCACATGTAAGTCACTGCCACAAACAATTTCGTGCTGCTGCTGTGTTGTGCTGTGCTGTGATGTGCTATGCTGTGATGTGATGTGGCATGGTTGTGCAGGTCAGCGCCTGTTCAGCATGCAGGCTGAGGATGGCCCGGGCGAGCACAGCTTGGAAGGTCGTCCACGCCACGACAATGATCATATCGAGATTTCAGCCGTAAGATACTCTTGATATGACATTACGTGACAATCGCCCTTGATCATGTTTTCCATGAGGTCATAGATAGCCCTCGCGGGCTCAGCTTGGATGGCTGCCCACAGCATGCTATGACACCTTGAAACTATAGCCATAAGATGCTGGCTTGTTCTGATGTATTTCACACAGAAATCGTAAATTTCATGAGATCGGAGTGTTTTTGTTTTGTATTGTGACCATGTTCGTGGCCATCTCTCTCACGAGTTTCCTGTGCCTTGATCAGGTTTTGTGTCTGATAGCTGAAAAGCTCCTTATCCTGAAAAGCTTCTTGTCTTGACAAATTCCTTTCTCGATGAGAAATCTACGCAGCTGTTTTTAACATGGTTCCGATCGACCAGGGGCTTTAATGGATAGTTTCCTCACTTCAATTCATTTCTTTCCTCTCCTAATACCCGTCTTGCCCGACTCCAGATCTCAGTGGCGCCAACGATGGACGAGGTTCTCTGCGACGCCGCGCCCTACCTTCCGCACAACCACCCCAACGAGCCGCACTGCCTGCAAGCGGGGTCAGTGGGGCGCCACGTGGACATTCAATTCCGCCTGCTGTGCCACGACCTCGTCGCCCCCCTCTGGAGCAATGCGCTCGTCCTCCTCCACCGCCTCACCCACGAATCGTCCGGGGGTGCCCGTGGTGCAAGCAGCAGCAGGAGTAGCGGCAGGGGGGAGGCAATGGGGCTGCTGAGGGCAGACAGGGAGTCGGTGAGGGGTGTGGCGGATGCGATGAAGGGCGTGGTGGGGTTGTCCTCGGAGGGCATGGACGTGTATCTACTACGGGAAGTGCGAGTGCTCTCCATCCACGCAGACCGGCGCAACGGCGTGTACTTTTTGATTGACTTCCTCGAGCCCCCCATGCCACGCGGCCGGCAAACTCGTGACAGGTAGAGCTCTGGCCTGTGTAGGAAAGCAAGGCTTACTCTTAACTTAACCTGGCCAAGCCGGCCGTACTTGTGTGGTGGGAAAGTTGCAATACTTGCTGATGGTGTGTGTATCCGGCTATCCCCTCTACACCCTTTGTTCTCTGTCACTCGCAGGGTTGAGTTCTGGGAGAACACCCGGAGGCTGCAGCACGGCGCCCTAGTCTGCCTATGGATTCGAGACGTCCAGCCAGGCCACAATCACCACACTCACTTGCAGCAACAGTTGCAGCAGTAGCTACGAGTGCCACTACAGTCCCCCCATGCAAGAAACACGCCAGCGGCTAGTGACACTTCCTCCCACCGCCTCATCTTTGCCACCATCACAGCTCGGGACACAAAGAGACTCGCTGCTGCCCGACCGCAAATCGGAGTGCAGCCGTGCGGGGGGAACGGGTTCAGTGCGGACCTGCTGGGGCTGATCGGCCAGGGCAGCAGCGGGGGGAGTGGTGGGAGGACGCAGGTGGTGATGCTGGAGGCCCATGGGAGCTTCTTTGCGTATCACCGAGGCGTCTCTGCCCTTTGCTGAGTACATCTGTGGGGTACCTGACAGGGCACCTGGGGGTGCATCTGGGAGGGCACCTGGAGCGTGCAAGCTACCTGCGTACATCCAAACGGGCATGAGGTGAGTACAAAGGGGTGGAACAAGGATTAGGTGCTACGGGAGGGAGGCAGAGGGGGATGGGGATGGAAGGAGAGGGGATTAGTTTGTGGGCTGCACTGTTAGCGAGAGAAAGAAGATATAGAAAGAATATGGGAAAAGGTGGAGGTGTTGGTTTTGAAGAGAGAGGAGGGACAGGGAGGTTCAATTGGCACATCATCATGAGGCTAACACTAGAAGTCATGTTGGCTTCTTGCATGTATGACTGATGTAGACTCAAGCCTGCTTCAACTTTTGTAAGAGCACGAGTCTCTCTTGCACTTAGGCACTGGACAAGGCATGTGTTGTCTTCCCCCTCCTTTACCCCCCTTCCTGTTGTGCGAGCCACGCGGGCATGGTGATGCACATCCAGGGCGCGGGCGAGTTCAAGGAGAAGGCCAGCGAGGGCGGGTGCTCGACTCATTCACTGCGGCCACACCTGCCCCCGCAGGTCAGAGTCAAACCGTTATCTCTCTCCTATGCATTCCCCTTGTGTTGACTTCCTATCCGTATAAGCATCATGCTCTCTACAGGGCTCGTGTTCTCTTTCCTCTCATGTTGCATCCTCCCTTTTCCGTGTTCCTGGCTGAGTTTTTTATTACAGTGTCTCCTAAAAAGGGAAGCAAATTGCTCAAAGGCTCCTGTCTGTCTTTCTTCACCCCACAGGTCCCATGCGGACGACAGGAGTCACACCAACACGTTCTGCCCCATGGGGTGCAATTGAACAAATGCTTCAACATGTTGCCCTAACACGTTGGGCCTCTGCAGGACATGTGGTCTATGAATGGCTCAACAGCACCCCTCTGTCTTCTATCCGTACCCAACAGGTACAATGCGGACGACAGGGCACACGCCACCACGTTCTGTGGCAAGGAGTGCAACCGCATCCGGCCGCTGGACGAGTGCCCTCACCAGCACACGTGCCCCAAGCAGTGTGGCGAGCCCTGTGGGCCGTGCATGGTCACCATCAGGAAGGTGACTCTCCCCTGTGGCCATCAGGCCTCCAATGTCCCTTGCTTCAAGGCACAGAAGCCCTCTTCCATTTTCTACTGGTGGGTTCAGCTTTCCCACCTGCATGGGTTTGCCCTAGGCAAGCTAAATGCCAGCATTTTTCTTTTAAACCCGTGCCTTCCTCCCACCCTTCCCCGCCTGTCTTTTTGCACTTGCATAACTGCCGCCCTTTGCCTATCTTCCGCCATTGACTCTCTTCGTGCAGTTGCCTTTTCCCTGCCCGTCCCTCTTCCCTGCCTGTACCGTTTCCCTGCCCGTGCTGTTTCCCTTTCCTACACTTGCCACGTACCTCCTGTGAGTGCCTTCCACGGCTGCCTTGCAACATACCTGCTGCCGCTCTCACCCATGCCCACCCGCTCTGGTCGCCGTCCCCTCTTGTAATCGCTTCCTGTCTTGCAATCTGATCCGTCATATTCAACGGTTTCAGTGCGTGACACTTCCTTTGCAGATACTGATCTTGGTCGCACACCTCCCTCAGGTCTTCCCTTGTCCCTTTCCCCCCTCTACTTCCCATGGCGGCAGGAGAACGGTGAAAGTGACGATGCCGCTGTGCGGCCACGAGCAGGAAGTCAGGTGTGGCGGGGCGGCCACCATACTCACCAACCCCAAGCGCTGCACCGCTCGCTGCGGAGGTCTCCTCTCAGACTCCTGCGGCCATGCCTGCATGTCCCTCTGCGCTCATTGCATCGTTGCTCCAGCTGCTAACACCGACCAAGGCATGGGCTTGCAGCAGCAGCAGCAGCGGTTGGAGAAAAAGCACAAGGAATGCACGCAGTCCTGCAAGCGTGACCTCCCCTGCGGCCACCTCTGCCCCGACCCCTGCCACCTCGACAAACCCTGCAAACCCTGCACCAAAATGTGCCTCGTGACCTGCCAACACAGCTCCTGCCCCCAACCATGCCACCAGACCTTCTCCGCCTACAACGAGCCTTGCGGGTGGAGCTGCAGGCACTAGGGTCGGTGCTCCCTGCCCTGCGGCGCTCCCTGTGACCGCCTCTCGTGCGAGCAGCGGTGTGAGAAAAGGCTCACCTGCGGCCACCAATGTTCGTATTTGTGTGCCGAGAAGTGCCCTTCCCAGGCGTTCTGCACGGTGGAAGGGCGTGGGTCCAAGAAGAAGAGAGAGATGAGGGTGGATTTCATCACATGAAAGACGTTGGGAGAGATTGATCCCAACGAGAGCCCTGTGCTTGTGCTGTTCCGCCAGCATGCTTTCACCATTGAGTCCCTCGACGACTACCTCGGGCTCAGCCAGGTCTACTAGGAGTCGAAAGGTGCTTCTGCTGGCTGCAGTGCAGTTGGAGGCGGTACGGAAGAATCGTCGAGCAAGTGGGTGGCGGTGCGGCCGTTTGCGGGCAGTCTATCTGTCCTCAAGCGCTACCCGACTGCCGCCAGCCAATCACAAGCATCCGTCGGTATGTCAGGATGGAGAACAGGGCTCTGCTAGACGAATCAGAGCGTAATTTTGCCGTCTGCTGCAAGGCAGACCAGCAGCAGCTCCAGCACAAGCTCTCTAAGCTGAGCCAAGCTCTATCAGCATGTCCGGAAGCTGCTCCCTCGAGGCAGATGGAGGAGCTGGGTCAGGCTGCGACTGTCCTGGTGGAGGAGGCAAGCAAGGTGCGAGGCACTGCATTGGATCCGCCCACCTAGTAGGCCTACCAGGCTTCTGTAGCTGCGCTGTAGAGAATGCACCTCCGGTTGGTATCGCCGTCATCCACAACAGCAAGATTGGCTACAGGTTCGGCTGCAGGTTCGGCGGTGCCAGCACAGGAGGAGGAGTGCCAGCTGCTATATGTCCCCCAGCCGGACCCCCGACTGCTCTATGAAGCGCTCTGCTGGGGAAAGCATACCAGCTGCTCATGATGGCACATCTCCTCCACCTTCGCTGCCTGCTGAGAGAACTCCGCAATCTCGCTAAGCGCCGTCAGAGCATCCCTTTTGGCCTAGCCGGCTGGCAATTGCAGGGAGGTTGTGCGGGGTCGCTGGAGAAATAAGAGAGGCATGTTGAGGAGGCAGTAGAGTAGGCTGGCAGGCGCAAGGCGCCGGTGCTGGAGGCGAGGGGCCGGCTGGAGATGGTTGACGTGTTCTGTGCATTCGTGGAGGGGAGGATGGTGGAACGACTGTTGTCGACCTCCTGGACTGGCCTGGTAAGTAACCCCCTCTCTCCTGTTCCCCGCCCCCTCCCTTCCCCTCTCCCACCCCTCTCCCTTCCTCCCACCCTACCACACTTCCCTCCTCTCCTTTCCCTCCTCTCCATTTTTGTTTCGTGTTTTGTGGGCCAAATGAGGCATGATGGTTCACACGTGTACTGTGATGGCAGGACGAATCAAAGCAACAGCAGCTGGAGCATCTCGAGAGGGCCAAGACCCAGTGCCACATCGTAGCCATCTCCCACCAACCAGCCTCAGACACAGAGAACGACGACCACCTTGCTAAGATAATGTGTGTTTTCAGATAATGCGCTCAGAGAATGATGGAGAAGGCTAATGTGTTCAAGGCGATAGGTTTGGGAGGGAATCACTGGTACCGGCGCCACAACGGGCATATGAATGCGATTGGGAAGTGTGCGGGGCCATGCAGGACTCTTGCTGCCCTGATTGTGGAGAGGTGATGGATGGGACTCACCATATGCTCACAAAAATTAACCTTAGAGCCCCTGGCCTTTTTAACGAGGATTGAGATTATGGGCTTGAGAGAACCACTGGATTCGATACTACTATGTGTTGTTCAAGATCCGTCACTTTGAGAACTTACAATGAACTCATTACTCAACGAAACGCAAATCCGCTCGGTAGGATTGTGCGCCTTAAAAAGATGGTCTGTAGAGTGAGAACCACTTGAAAACGTCTAGGTGCTGCATGACTAGAATGGTGGAGGAAGTACAAACATTAAGGCATAGAAAGGTTGGAGTTGGGGATTCCAAGAGAACCACGCGAGGGAAGGGGTTATCCAAGAGCTAGGGAAGGATGATAGGAACCTTCCTAGCAGCAATGATGCAACCCTCATCATAAGGTACTTGAGGTGTCACACGCAAAATCCAATCTAGTTGGATTTTGCCTAGGTGTTGCAACATTTGCAACCCGTGCTAGAAACTTCTAGCCACCCCAATCCAAAAGCCAAAGTTGCCTTCCTAACCACCCAACCAAAGATCCATATATAAGTCATGTCCCAATAATCGCCCAATGTAGAAAAATTCTCAAGATAAAATAGAATTCCCAAAACTTGGATGTAACTTGGGCGATCTTGGTCAGAATAAGGCGATCTTGGTATCGTAGGAAAGCTCTGGATTTCTCCTGCATGATCAAGAATTTAAACTTGGAGAAAAACACAGAGATTATAAAATCCAACAGCCATGCATTATATATATGCTCATGCAAACAAAACACGCATGAATCGCACGAGCACTCGGCAGGACGTTAGGATGACATGCACTCAAAATGACGTGCATCCAACAAACTCCCCCTCAGACGAACGGACTGCATGCACGCACTCTCACACATATGCAAACTCTCATGCACACACTCATGTACGCACTCATGACACGGCTGCCCACACTAGTGCAATGCCATGCCACACATCTTAGCACACTTCCAATGTGCGCTCTCGGGAAGTCTCTTGGTGAGAAAGTCAGCAATCCCGTCCTTCACCATCTGTCTCACCCAGTGCCACTTAATCTTCATGTGCTTGTTCAGCACATTCAAGATAGGATTACTGGCCATGCCAATAGAAGCCTCGCTTTTGGAGAGAAGTGGTGTAGGTCCCTCCTGTTCAGCTCCCATGTCCTCGAGCAGCTTCCTCAGGAGCACAATCTCCTTGATGGCATGGTACATCGCCATGTATTCTGCCTCTCCCGAAGTCTGAGCAATCCCACTCTGCTTACTCCAACTCACTGGTCCACCTCTGACCATATAGACAAAGCCACCCACAGATGATTGATCCTCCTCCTATGTGGCCCACGTGGCGTCGGTGAAGCACGACAGCTTCCACGTTCCAGGCGTGATCCCATCTGCTGAAACCTGATTCAGCTGCCAGCCAGCTGAAAACTGAACACCAGCAGATTCCGTTGATCCGAGGTAGCGCACCAAGCGCTTTGCCACCTCCAACTGCTCCTCAGTGGGGCGGTGCACAACTCTGGCTAACTGCCCCACTCCGAATGAAGCATCAGGTCGCGTTTGCACAGCAGCATACATCACACTCCCAATGAGTGACTGGTACTCATTCTGCTGCTCATCCTCGAGCACATCATCCTCCTAAGCTGCCTTCTTCAGCTTGAAGCCTGCAGGGAACGGCGTCATCACAGTGCGACCCCCAGTCACACCATAACGCTCCATCACACCAGCGATGTAGTGTGACCGATGCACCTTCAGCCACCTCCTCTCAACATCCCTCTCAATCTGTAGCCCCAAATAGTATTGGACATCCCCTAGCATCTTGCACTTGAAGTTGTCCATCACCAGCTTCTCTGGCCTCTCATGTCAAAATGAACAAGGGTGATTGCACAAGGAAAGAGTTGGGTACAAGTAGGAAACCCTAAACTTACTGTACCCCATAGTAACTACCCCACTACAGCCTAAACAAACTATAGCAGATATAACATTTAACACACCCCCATAGGCAAAGTAGGGGAGAGCAAGGGGTCACAAGACCAGTCAAGAAAGGCAAAGCAAGCTCAGGGTGGATCACAACGTCACCACACTCACTGAGCACAAGCAAAGGGCCACAAGGCCAGTTCACATGCAGAGGCATATATGTAACACAAGCATCACAGTGATCTCTACCTAGCAACGCAAGCATGCAGGTATATATATATAGATCACAGTACAAGCGAAGTCTACAACAAGTGAGGAAAAGTGGGCACAAGCCCTAGCATAGTGCAGAAGCGCTGATGATCACCAGACTGAAGTGCCTTGGTGAATATATCAGCAGTGTTGGCCTGAGTGGCCACGTAACGCAGACGAAGCTGACCACGCTGCTGCAACTCTCGAGCCAGGAAGTAACGCAGAGCGATGTGCTTCGTTCTATGCTCCAGTCTGTGCTACTCACACAAGGCAATGGCAGCCTTGTTGTCGACGTACAACACTGGAGGAGAACGAGGCCGCTCTCCCAAGTCGGTCAGCAGGTAGGTGAGCCAGCGTAACTCCTGAGCAGCCATGGCTGTGGCGTAGATCTCAGCCTCACAACTGGAGCTGAGAACTGAAGACGAGCGTGTAGAACGCCAAGAAACTGAACCAGAGCCAAGGCTGAAGGTGTAACCCTGTGACGACCGCTGAGTAGCCTGGTCGTCAACCCAAGAAGCGTCTGAGTGCCCAGTGAGAACAACTGAGCTCCTCCCTCCAAGCACGAGCCCCATGCCTGAAGTACTGCACAAGTAGCGTAGTACCCACTTAGCAGCATCCATGTGCACCTTTCGGTGCCGACCAGGAGCCACGTAGCGAGCCAGAAGGCCAAGAGGGTACGCGAGGTCAGGACGAGTGCAAGTTATCAGGTACATGAGGCAACCAACTAGCTCTGGGTAAGGACCACTCGGCTCTACGGACTCGTCCGAAGGTGGAGCTGAGAGCGAGTGACCTGTAGCCAGAGGAGTGGCCTGTGCTGAGGACCAGGTGAAGCCGAAGCACTGACTGAGTCAGTGTGATGGTGCGGCGTGCTTTGTCCCGGGTGATCTGCAAGCCAAGGTAGCTGCACAGCTCACCCAGGTCTGTGCACGTGTGTCTCTTCTGCAGCTCCGACTTCACCAGGGCGAGAGCCTCAGTGTCAGCAGTGGCAAAGACCAAGTCGTCGACGTACACGAGGATGTAGAACGGCGGCATCGAAGTGTCGGTGCGCAGAAACAGCAACGGGTCAGCAGTAGAAGGCGCGAACCCAAGAGCCGCAAGTGTCGTCCTCAGTGTGTCGTGCCACTCACGTGGCGCCTGGCGGAGACTGTAGACCGGCCGCCGGAGGCTCCACTGGGTACCA